ACTTCCATACCTGACCTCAACAATTCCTCCCCTGGATCTAATAGTGAGGACCTCACAAGACAGTGCTTTCCCATGACTCCCTGTCTCCAGGCCTCTTCGCTCTTGTGTCTTACCCTTGTTCTCTGACCACCTTGGCTTCAATTCAGCTAAGACATATTCAGAATTCATGATGTATCAGTCAACTGTGCTAAATTCTGGAGATGCAAAGATGCTGTCTTGCAGCTCAAAGCCTACTAGGACTACCTAAAACATGCTCACTAGTTCATTATTGAAGCTGGTATTACATCATGCTGAAACTCAATTCACGATTAAACTGTTTTTCTCAACTAGTGCCCAAGCTTCATCTTGCTAGTAGCCAGGGGAACATTACGGTAGGCACCAAAACTTACCTGTAGCTTCTCTATCTCCTCCAACTCTCCAACTCTACAAAGTTGGAATAAAACAAATGTATTGGAATTTTGGTGTCTCAGTTCCATGTCCCTACTAAATTTCTCACTATTAGACTGTTTACTTACTTGCAGATATCCACTGCAAGTTAACAGAAGGAAACAGGACACTGATTTACCTGGGCCAAGGTAAATATTAACATTTAAGAGGATCGTCCTGGCTATTCAAAAGTGTGCTGGGCTCACCACAAGACTTCTCTAGTTTCAATTTTCCTACTGAATCCACAGCATGAGTATTAGTACATAACTAAAGAATAGCCTCATGAAAACGAATTGACCATTCCTATCCAGTTATGTTATAGACTGCAAACTCCAAGAACGTACATCAGATGCATTTTATTGTCCTTGTTCTGTGACCTGCACAACATAATGAACAACTGGCCATTCAAATGAGTTTTAGTGATGACGATGAAAACCAGCAGGATCATCAGTTTTGTGACGATCCCAGGCTTAAGGATGGCTGTCTGTTACCAACTTATACCACAGGAGTCAACAGAAATATACAGGACATTCACACAAGAATGGAACAAAGTTCCAGACATGTTTACATGAAGGTGTACCTCTTCCTAGTTGAGAAATAAGTCTATACCTCACATCAGGGTACAGAGATCACTGGTCTCAGGGCAATCTCAAAGGCCAAGTCAGCCCAAAGAAGTATCATTTTCTCTTAGGCAAATGCCAGCTATCAAAGTGCAAAAGGAAATAGCCACTTGGACCTGGAGTTCAGCATTCAGACTGCTGACCCTATCATCTCTGCCACAGTGAGGCTGATACTGACCCGTGATGGGCAATCCAGCAGTTGGGATTCACTTGCTAACTTCCCACAGATGTTTAAAAAAGGACAGGTCAGAAACGATGTCATTGTAAGGTGGAAGCTAATCTCAAAACACACTTTATAAAGGGCTCACATATTCTCATTTAATTGCAAAATTATCAGGAGAGAGGGAATCTTTTTGTTTCTCCAGTAATTCAAAGGCTTGGGGAGGCTTTCCCTGGTTTCAAGATCCTTCTGTGCAAGTTACTTCCTTATATTTCGCTTTTCCCATGGATTAAATAGGCACCAGTGTTGCAGTAGCCTCTTCCCACACCCCTTTGACCTGGGTCTGTTATATTCAGCAAGTCTCTTCTATGGCTTTATTCAACAGCTAACACAGACATAAAGCTTGTCAACACCCCAATCAAGATTAGAAAAAAAAATCTAAGGGGTATTTCATGAATGTTTACTTTGGAACATTTGTGTTTCTCACACCAGGGAAAAAATAACATGTTTTGGAAGAATAAAATTAAATAGTGACATTTGCTTAGACACTCATGGACGCAAAACCCAGTCCACACTGGTTATTTGATAATGGTGTTATTGAGAGTGATCAACTTCAGGTCGAGTTGCTGGGAAACAAAGGTCACCGTCAAGATGACTCACTGATTTTCTCTAAGGATCTATTGATAAGCTCCTTGTCAAGAGAGGTACTATCAGAAGTACAATAAGGAAAGTGGCTAAGTATATTATTTTATTTAATCTTCACAACAGACACATGAGTGGGGTCATTATTATCCCATTAGCCCAATGAGAAAATGCAAGCTCAGAGAGGCTTTACAACTTGCCCAAAGTTGCACAGCTAAGGAAGGGGTAGAACTAGGAAATCAAAATCAGTTCCTCTGACTGCAAAAGCCACACTCTTTCCACTACACCACATGCTTCTTGATCTTCAATGGTGAAAATGTGAGTGGTTTTGTCATGGAATTGTGGGTCATATGAGGGGTACTGTGTTTTCCAGTGGGATAGCTATTCTCACCAAACAGGCGCTGGTTAAAGAAAGGAGCAAGACTCACACCCTGGATTTCTCTGGAGGGCAAAATGTCTGATAGTCATTTCAGGTAAGGTCAGATATGATTACCATCAGTTCACATTTATGTCTTTTTCTGGGGAAACTGGACCACATCAAAGAAGCTCACAAATGCTAAAGCCCCTCGTAAATGTAAGGTGATATTATCACCACCACTCCCTTCTGAGACACAGAGGGCTGTTTCTCCCCTACCCCATGCTTCTGAGCTACTCCGTAGTAGTGCTTCCTTCAGGAATTTGGTTTGTTTGGGGTGGGGAGTGAGGAGGTATTACGAAGGCTCCACAAACACCAGAGTAGCAGTGTGCCTGTGTACGCATCTGAAGGTGAGCCATTTATCATTCAGTTTCATGGCAAAACAAACAAACAAACAAGGACATGTCAGAAACCGTGTCATTGTAAGGTGTAACCTAGATCGCAAAACACACTTTATAAAGGACTCACATATTCTCATTTAATTACAAAATTATCAGGAGAAAGGAACCTTTTTATTTGTCCACTCTAGTAATTCAAAGGCTTGGGGAGGTTCTCCCTAGTTTCAGGATCCCTAGTTTCATGGTACAGCCATGGTACAGTCTGAAGAATATACACTGATCCTCATTATTCACAGATTCCATATTTATGAATTGTGTCTAACTGATAAAATTGATTTGTAACCTCAAAAATCAGTACATGTGGCACTTTCATGGTCATTTGAGAATCCACGTAGTGTGGCCAAAAATTTGGGTCACTGACATGCACATGCCCAGCTAAGGTTGAAGCAGGGCACGCTCTGCCTTCTTGATCTAGCTCTCAGGCTGTTACGCAGGGTCCTTTTCATGGTCTATTTAGTGCCATGTTGTTTTTCACATCTTTGTGCTTTTTGTTGGTGATGTTGCTGTCTAACACACCTCCCAAGCACAGTGCTAAGTGCTCTCTAGTGTCCTAAGTACAAGACGGCTGTGATGTGCCTCACAGAAAAAAATCCACGTGTTCGATAAGCTTTGTTCAGGTATGGGTGATAGCACTCTTGGCCGTAGTTCAATGTTAATAAACCAACAATATACTAATACATTAAGTATGGTGTCCTTAAACAGAAGCACACATAAAACAAGGTTATATACTGGTTAGTGATAAAAATGTAATCAGACACCGCAGGAACCTAATCCTCTATTTCCCTTAGCAGCAATGGTTTAGTATTTGCTAGTTCAGTGTTCACAGTGACTTAACAGACCCTAACCACTGCAAATAACAAGAATTGATTGTACTTACTAAAATGTATAAGTATGGTATATAAGCTTAAGGAAGTATTGGGGAAATGCCTGTTATGCATTCAAAGGGCAATATATTAACTATCCAAAATCATATACATGAAAAAGACTGTAAGAAATACACAAAACAGGCCAGACGTGGTGGCTCATGCCTGTAATCCCAGCACTCTGGGAGGTGAGGTCCAAGGACTGCTTGAACCCAGGAGTTCGAGACCAGTCTAGGCAACATAGGGAGCCTCTGTCTCTAACAAAAACAAATGTTTTAATTAGCTGAGTGTGGTGGTGCACAGCTGCAGTCCCAGCTACTTAGGAGGCTGAGGTGGGAGGATCCCTTAAGCCCAGGAGGTGGAGGCTCTAGTGAGTCAGGATCACGCCACTGCACTACAACCTGGGTGACAGAGCGAGACCTAGTCCTCAAAAAAAAAAAAAAAAAGAAAGAAAGAAAAAGAAATATACAAAATAGATAACAGGGCTGTTAGGATAGTGGGAACATAAGAGATTTTTCTGATTTCTCTAACTTCGGTAATATGTTATTTTCGTAGTTTAAAAATAAAGTTTCAAATGCAAAATTACTCCCATCCATTAATATCTCTGAGAAAAACCCACAAGTCCTTATTGTCAAGTCTATGACTAATACCCTGTTCGGCAGCCCTACGAAAAGGTAATTAAAACCATCTGGAGGCCTGGTGAGGTTTGATTTACTTTTCTGGGAAACCTGGAAAAGATCTTCCTAGTATGGACCTGATTTGTCATCTAACATTGAAGGTTCTCGTTGTGTTTGATTTCTATTAACTATCTCTTCCATATACTCAGCCTCCTTCCCATCCTCCCCACGGCTGAGAGGATATCCCCACCCAGCCCTCAGGCTCTTAGTCTTTCAACTCAAATGTCACCTTAGAAAAGCAGTGTCCGTGTCCCCTACAGGAGCCACAGGTCCCATTTTGTCATCTTCACTGCATTTGCCAGTATCTGAAATTAGCTTACCGATTTATCTGTTCCAGTTTTTATCATGTGGCCCCTGCTTCCCCACCTTTGCACTAGAATATACAGAGACTGTCCGTCTTGCTCAGTGTTTGACTGACACCCTACTACCCCACCCTACTCTACCATATCTGCAAGTGCTCAGTATTTGCTGACTTACTAAGTTTTTCCTGATTCCTCTTTCTCCTTTGACCCCAAATCCAGACATAATCACTTATTTACCTATCTATCCTATTCCAGGAGCTTAAGAATCTTTCTTTCTTTCTTTTTCAGATAGGGTCTCACTCTCTCACTCTGTCAACCAGGCTGGAGTGCAGTGGTGTGATCTTGGCTTACTACAACCTCCGCCTCCAGGGTTCCAGCGATCCGCCTGCCTCAGCTGGGATTACAGATGCCTGCCACCACGCCTGGCTAATTTTTGTATTTTTAGAAGAGACAGGGTTTCACCATGTTGGCCAGGCTGGTCTCGAACTCCTGACCTCAAGTGATCTGCCTGCCTCAGCCTTCCAAAGTACTGGGATTACAGGTATGAGCCGCTGCGCCCAGCCAGTTTAAGAATATTTCAATCACTTACTAAGACCTTTTAATGTAAACTCCTTGATGTCTCTTGACTTCATCCTGATTTATTTCCTGGGAAAGAAGAGAGCTCAGGGTTAGAGAGCTTGTTCCCTCTAAGTCACTGTAGTTGATGTTAAGTGGGATTAGCTCCCAGTGGTGTTTCACTGAAAACCTGCTTACCACTTAGTTGATTAACTGCTACTCCACAAAACACATTCCTTCTTTACGACCAAATTACTGCCAGAGCCTTCTAACTTCTCTGCACCCACTCCAGTCTAGCTAAGGCCCAAAGAATGGATGGGTAAATAACAGTATCTGAGACCTGCTGTTGGTTTATGTTAAATGTTCTTTAAAAAGGGTCAACCATCCCCCACACATGGCTCTCCTGAAAGGGAAGGGTATGTGGGTTTGCAGAGGAGGGGAGAGTTGGGTGGGTGATGACTGTCTCGAAATGTGACTATAGAGAAATCATGTCATCTCTGTTGGAAAGTCCTTGTTTCACTTGCATTGTGTTTTAAGGCTGGGAAGGGGTACACACTGAGCTCTTTCTAATGCCAAGCCTTCATCAGAAAGCAGCTGTAATATAGAAAAAATGCTTTGCCTAATCCTGTTTTCATAATGGTTTCTAGGCAACCACTTGATGCAAACTAGTTTGTAAACAGCTGGCAGCTAGATAACCAAGAGAAAAGAGAGCACTTACAACAGACGGTCAAAGACCTGCAGAAGGGAAAGGCATCATCATGGGGTTTTCACACAGCCCAGTAAGATCACAAGGTCCTGTAACCTCTCCAGGAGGAAAAAGTAGCAGGGGTGTGTGAGCTGGAAACCTGGAAGAATAAATGGCACTCTCCTGATGAATCATAAGGAAAGAGAAATTCTTCGTGTCATTCTTCACGGAGGAGACAAGATCAAAATCTTGAGAGGCAACCTCTCTGCATGGGTTTCTGCCTGGTATTCCGAAGTTCCACACACATAAGTAGAGTCCAGCCCTTTGACCTTGAGATACAGGTTGGACCTGTCCTGTCTACGTATGAGGGATAACTGAAATGACAACTGAAATTGTGAAATGACCCACAGCATTTAATGATTACCGGGAACAAAAGTGTAGGATCTTAGTGCTTGTTTACATTTGGCTTGAATTGTGTATTATTTTTCCTGAAAAAGAAAAACTAGTAATCCTGGGGACATAATCCACAGCTTACAAACACTCCTGCTCTTGCAGGTGGTGACAGCAGATAGCTACCTAGAAGTAGGGGTGGACCCAGGCAGGGCGCAGGGGGCTAGGGATCATCTCAGAGGTGTCTGTTTGCTCCCTGTTCTAACTGTAATGGCCACGGCTCTCTATTTTCAGAACACTTTCAGCAAAAAGGAAAGAACCGCAAAGAAATCATCAGGAGCACTGCAGGCAGCGCACATGTAACCTCTATAAAGGCAGGTCATGCTTGCATCCAAACTACCCTAAGAGCACTCCTACTTTTTAAAATGAATCACTTTGTGTTGCCAAACTCCCCAGGTGCACCACATGTAAAGTTTATCTGTAACAGCAGCCTAAAGAGTTTGGAATGCTCATGGAATTGTCTGGCCATGAGAGAGGAGGCAGGCAAGAGGAGAAGAGGAAGGCATGGAGGCTAGAAAGTAGGAAGACCAGCTGCCCCAGTTGCCTCAGACTTTTCTGGTTGTAAAGTTCCACATCCTGGGATACCTCCCAGTCCCAGAGAAGCCGGAACAACCGCCCAACCTATAAAGGAATAGAAAGAAGACTACAAATGTTGCCTAAGCGCTAGGGTAATTAGTCACTCAAGACTCCCAGTGATTGAAAACCCAGATCCAAGAAACCAGGCCCTATAACTGCCAGAGTCTGGGTTCTTATTTAACATAAAACTCTAAAGTTCCCCAGACAGAGCCACTGGTAGAGACACCATTCTTCGACCACGTTAACCTACATTTAGAAGTAAACAATGAATGATCATGACAAACCAATCCCTCTCATGACCCCTAATTCTCACCAGGCTGACCTTTTGTAAGTGGTTACAGATACACTACTATTCCATCAGAAATCCTTGCCCATTTATTTCCATCTTCAATGAGTACAGTAAGAACCCATTCAACAGGTATAGAAAAAGCACGTGTTCACAGACAGTTTCTGGAGCAAGCAGCAAAGCCCGGGTGGATTGCAGCTGGTCGCATCCTGGTTTGGGAAGCACCACAGAATGGGGGAGGGTGAAGATGGCAGTCTTACGATGAGTTCTTCAGCACTGCCACCTCACTGCTCTCGCCTTAATCCCCACAAGCCAAACATACGCGTCCGGTTCAAAAATACTCATGGAGTCTAGAAATAGGTGTGAGGGCACTTGGCATTTTCACTTCTAATTTGTGATTAAATTTTTGGTCTAATTGGAAAACAATCTGAAACAAACATAACTCAGAAAATAATTTAACAGGTACCCCTGAAATCTACCACCTACACTTTTCAAATATAAATCTGCGATCTTGGCCTAAAATTTTTGAAAAAGAACTGAAATATTACCAATAAAATTAAAACCCACCTCAAAGAGGCAGATCTGAGCACTGTCATCTCCTTTTTATAAAGGCAGAAACTGAAGCTTGGAAAGATTAATATGCCTAGTGTTCCATTATTGGAACGCTAAGCATGTGGGAGTTATTTATATTCTACCACTCAAGGTCATCGCCAAGGTCTGATTTTTCATTCATGCAAAAATTCAAAAAATTGCAACCTAAGGCATTAATGGGTTAAATAACTTCCCTCAGGATATATGGGGACAGTCATTGGACACATTCAAATCCTAGTCTTCCTTGATGCAAGTAAAATTTCTCTCACTGGGTACTTTTCAAACCAATTGAAATCACTCATACTTTGATGTTTAAAACACTAGCTAAGGCACTTGATTTCAGGTCTCAGATTTTGCTGCCGCTTGTGTTACCAGGCACCAGGTATTTGGTGGCAAGACAGAACCATCAGTTTGCCTCAGGAATGTAAGACTTTGAATCAGAGAAGACCCAAAGGCCTTCTAATTATTTATAAACAGTTGTTTCCCACTTATAAGTGGATATAAAATTAAAAAGCACTCACCAAGTGAGATGAATAAGCTATAAGGAGTAGAATACAATTTCAGTCTAATTGAACATTTTCATTATAGAGCATTTGCAAGTAAGTGTTTAGTCAATTTACTTTAGAGAGCATCTCAGGTCAGTGTCTGGTTTAAATTCCAACTACCACTCCTGCCAGAAGAAAATCGTTTCGCAGTGTTAGCAGTGGACAGTAATATCCAGGTTCCCCCCCAACCCCCAGTGCAAGTTTCCAGTAATAGAATTAATTTTGAAATCAATTTCCACTAAATCAAACCTGAGCTCTCTCTTATTCACAAAAGCTCCGAAGCCCACCTGAGCTGCTCTCAAAATGCCATTGCACTCTCTACCTTCCATCTTTTGGGTCCTGTAAATATTTGTCCTTTCGTGCCAAATATTTCTCGAGAAGCCACAGCCCAGATGAGCCATATTGAAACAGTAGAAAATAACAATGATAGTTATTTTACTTTTACTTGTATTTCACAATCCAGGTTCTGAATTCTTCGAGTTGGGCAAAGATTTGCGATTGCTAGCCTACAGCATAAGGCCCCACCTAAAAGAGACCATTCAGACAGGTGAAACAACATTCCGCACTGAGCTAGGTGAATCTGTTCACCTTTTTCTAGAAAAAGGGATTTGTTACTTACAGGAAAGTAGCCAAATTCAATTAACCCAGTAGTGAAGAGCTACTTTTAGAGCTGAACAGCATTTCATTTTGTCAAACAGAGGCCTTTTTAAAGAGCAGTGTGTGTGGATTTAATCCAATGTCCCCCACCCCCCGGTGAATATTAAAATTCATAAAATGTTTTGTCTTTTCTTCTTCTGCCTCTCCACTCGGTTCCCGCTCTGGTCTAGTCAGATGTAATGATGACATGGAGTTCCCTGAACACACAGTGCTCATCACTCCTCCCCGTCTTGAACACAGGTTCCTACAGCCTGGAATTCCACTTCCCTCCCTTCTCCACCTGGAAAACTGCTACTTCCACAAACTAGCCTTCTTCCACTCACCCAGGAAGTCATGTCACTAGGCACCCAAAATGCACCCAAAGATTTCCTTCTCTTAACACATTTACCACTTACTTTTTGCATTTTTTTTGTTGTTGTTGTTACTTATGTCTCTCTCTTCAAGGATGTGACTACAGGAATCTACAATGCCTAGACATAACAGAAGCCAAATAAACACTTGGGAAATCCATTAATGTCACAACCTCATTGCTTTCCCCACCATCTGTACAGCATCCTGACTGTCCACAGGGATGCCTAATTATACAATCCCAAGTCCTCCTTCACCGTGGAATCTCCACTGGGCCCAGACTACTTCGCATCAGAGAAAAATACAGTAACTCCAACCTCAGCAACTAGGCCCAGCCCCTCAACTAGTATAGAACTCTTAAACTTGAGAAGATGGATAATTTTTCTTCATTTTTAGAAAGCGAAGAATATTGTAATAACCCAAATAATTCCTACTCCTTCCATTCAATTTACAGGCTTCACAAGTTTTCTTCAAAGAACGCACCTGTAAGAAAGCCGGGTGTATGAGAAGAGTGGTAAATGCAATGACATTGATCTCTCTCCTCTGCCAAGGTATTAATTCATCAATAAGCAAAAACACTTCAGATGCGTTCTTACTAATTTTTGCTGTATCACAGGGTGGAAGGCTGTTTGATCCCAAGGGAACAATGGCTACAATATAGGACCTCCTCCCAGAAGACAGGAACATTGTGTCTGGCGTGTTCTGTCCCAGGCCTGGCCCACTGAAGTCCCAGGAGCTGTTCAACTGAATCAGTCACTTTCCAGTTTTCCCCTAAATCCAGGTCATCACTGTTCCTAATTTCCATGGTCACCAAGGGAAACACGCAGCTCCCTGACTCATGCAATTCCCTGGGGTCAGTCCTCAGTGGGAAGAGAGTAGAGTTTACAGGCCACAAGTCAATTCAAACAGTTCACATTACCCAAGGCACACAAGCCCAAGGCTATGCATAACAAACTGGATGGCCCAACACAAGTGAGAACTCAGGTAAAATTCACGTCAAAAAAGAACCCCTTAAGTTTGTGACTTGGAGACAAACCACTAAGATCCTAAGTCTACTGTAGTCTTGGGAAAAATCTTGGAATTTACTTTTCCCCACAATGATCAGAAAATAAAACTTTGGCCAGGGACAGTGGTTCACACCTGTATCCCAATACTCTGGGAGGCAAGGCAGGAGGATCAATTTAGCTCAGGAGTTCAAGACCAGCCTGGGCAACAGAGTAAGACCCTGCCTGTTTAAAAAAGAAAAAAGAAAGAAAGAAAAGAAATCCTTGGCTGCTTCAAACAAGCCAAACAGCTTGAGATCATCTGATGGGTGACAAGAGTTTTAAAAAGCTGCATTTGAGGAACTCACTTATCTGCTTGGCATTTGGTACAATGCAATGTTTAAATGTTTCAAGAAATCCAGTGAGTTAAGGGGCGGCCCTTTCTCCTATGTCTCACTTTCTGCATCAAAGACAATGAATAAGCTGCTCTTGATCCAGGGCCACCTGAAGAGCCTCTAGTGAGGTCATCAGCTGACACTTTCTCATTCTGCCTGACCACTGCTTAGACACGGGTGAGTGGATCTGGTCAGGATTAAATCCAAGGAAGGCCCAGTGTGGTCAGGGTCAATCCTCTGGTGCCAACACTTCACACACTTGCAATCTGTCTGCAACATAAGGGATGTAAAAACTTAAGTACTTCTTTTCAGTCTCCAAAATGCCAAGTCATTTTTTAAGAGACTAACATTAAAGCAGAAGTTACTACAGTATGTGTGTACGTCTGTCTCACATCTGAGAAGGAACCTATTGACTCCAAGAGACCAGAATTGACTTGTTAATGAGGACTGTAGAGACCCCACCTAAGGAGGATTGTGAAAATGGCCTCAATGTTTGGCAGGCCCTCCCAGGAAGAGGTGATGTCTGTTTCTCTGCTCTTTGATTCTGCAATGGCGTTTCGAGTTGCTTTGGCCAACACAATGAAGTGGAAGTATAATTGTCCAAGTTCTGAAACTGGGCCCCAAGAGTCTTTGGCAACTTGAGCTGCCATCTGAACAAGACAGGACTAGTCTCTGGGTAATGAGTGAACCCCAAGGTCCATATTCCCCACCATTCCCTTTCTCTATCACCCCAGCTGATCGCCACCCATCCCCTAGAAGCAGAGCTGGCTGACCAGCACCTGACCACAGACTCACAGGTGAACCCAGCTGAGACCAGCAGAAGAAGAGTCCATCTGAGCCCAGTCCAAATTGCTGGTTCACAGAACCTGCAGGCTAAATAAATGATGGTGGTTTTAAGCCACTAAGTTGTATGGTGATTTGTTATGTAGCAAAACCTCAGACACCATTCCCAAAAACGTTCTGGGAGACAAGACATGATCATATGTTGAAATGACATTCAACTTCGTGAAGACAGGGAGCCCGATCGATGATTTCTCAAATGTTCTACAAACCAGGGTGAAAGCAAGCATGATGAGAATCAAAGTGTAATAACCAAATTAAATTACCCTAAGTAAACTGCATCTTTTGCCATCCAGTGAGGAAAGTACATGCAATATTTAGAAAATGTAAGGTAATTTAATTACTGGTTCACCAGTACAACAGAAAGTTGAGTGATAAAATACTTATTTACCTCAGTAACTTTTCACTTTCACTCTCTTCCCTTTATTTCTCAGAGGTCTACTTTCCACATTCCCATTCCCTAGTTTTTAGAATTCTCATTGCTTCATATCCCCATTGTAGTCCTCTAGCAAAAACAGTAGTGTCCACTAATGGAGTAGTGTCCACTAATGCAGTAGTGTCCACTAATGGAGAGATTTTACTAGGTGCTTTTAACACCTAGTAAAAAATATGTACTTCTCATTATATAGTGAATTCTCATAACTATCCCATTAGATAAGTAATAATTAGACCCATTTTATAGGGCAGTAAACCAAGGCTCAGAGAGGTGAAGTAACTTGCCAGGAACATGCGGTTTGAATGTGCTGGAGCTAGAATTTAAGCCACCATCTGTCTGGTTACACAGCTCATGAATTTTCCATTATCTAAACCGCCTCTGAGGAATAAGTGCTAAGTTCATAACATAGACTTTCCACGAGAATGCAAGCTTAAAATACAGTGACTATAAGTAAATGCAAAATAAATATATATGTGTATATTTATACATATACACATGCACACACACACGGAGTGGGGGAGGGGAGAGAAAATAAAAGACAGAAAGAAGTAATTGTGAAAACTGAAATTCCACCAAAAGAGTTAGAATATTAGTGATTTTGTCCAAAACCTTTCCAAGGCTTAGAGAGAGAATCAGGAATATATAACAGGGTCAGTGGCATATTGGCCTGGAAATATCTAATAAAAGACAACATTGAATCAATTACCTCTGGCTCTAAAGCATACACATGTAAAGACATCCACAGGGGAACCATCTGAAATTCAAATAATTAATTGTGCATATTGTGAAGAGTTTTCCCATAATATAACCACTACAGAAGCATGTGTTTTATTTCATTTAAATTAACAAATAAACATAATCTCATTTATCAATTATTTTAAACTTAAAACTAAATAATTTCCTTTTTTTTTTTTTTTTTTTGAGATGGAGTTTCGTTCTTGTAGCCCAGGCTGGAGTGCGATGGCACGATCTCAGCTCACTGCAACCTCCACCTCCCGGTTTCAAGCGATTCTCCTACCTCAGCCTCCCGAGTAGCTGGGATTAGAGGTGCATGCCACCACACCCAGCTAATTTTTTGTATTGTTAGTAGAGACGGGGTTTCACTATGTTGGCCAGGCTGGTCTCGAACTCCCAACCTCAGGCAAAGACCTCGGCCTCCAAGAATTATTTCTTTTACTCAGAAAGAAATGTGGGCTTAAAAAGTCAATCTATTATTTTAGGAAGAAGCTTAAATTGTTAAATGTTTACATTCTGCATTAAATTTACTTCCTTCCTCCAAATTATAAACTGGGGGGTGGGGGAGATGAGAATATTAAAATTTTTCATTTGTGCCCAATTTTCTCAATTTAAATGAATTTGCTCAGTGTCCTTGCAATCAGGCCAGCATATAATTAAATGGCAGTTTGGAGGACAGTGCGTATGTCTCTGAATTGAAATTGGGGAAGGAACATGGGGGCCCTCCCCCTGCACAGCCAAAACACAGGCTGAATCAGGCTCTCTCTGCTTGGGTCAGCTGTTGCTCCCCACACCCAGGCAACCCAAACCTGGAATAATCTCAGGCTTTCTCCTACGTCACCCTCTCAGAGAGAGGCCCTTTATCCCACCTTTGCCATTACGGGATACAGACAGAATGCGTCTTCTGTGGATCCAACCTCTAGGCCTCAACTCTTCCTGTCATCTTGGGGGTCTCTCCCCTGTGGCATCTCTTGCCCTCCCCTCCCCATTTCTACGCCAGACAGTCCTCTGTCTTTCACGCAGGTACCTGTGATCCCTAGGAAACAAAAGCTTTCCTTTTCCCACCCAGGGGCACACCTCACAAGCCTCTGATTATCACCTTGGTCACTCAGCTGGAAGCTCTGTCCCTGGCAACTCTTCCATTCATCCTCTGCTGCTTCCTGAAAGACCTCTAGCCTACCCCAGGCCTCTCCTCCACGATCTCAGGACCCATGCCCTCTTCATGCCCACTTCTCAGTCTCTCTGTGGCAGGCCCCCTCGCTTTTCTGAACCATGGGAAATTCTAGGAAGTTCTTCTAGGAACTCACACGGCTCCCCTGTGTCTCCATGAACCCAGCCTCCACTTCCCTCCTAGCATCCCCTGCACCTCCATGCGCCTGCTCTGCTCTTCCCCATCTGTGACCCCACCAAAGTCAGGACCAATGTCAGGAAACACCTGTTCTCCAAGGTGGAAGACTCAGTGAATGTTCACATTGAAACAGACCCTGGTGGTTTTTAAGCTCAAACCCAGGGACGCTAAACTCATGAAGCAGCACAGACCATTGCTTGGGCAACTTGAATTTTAAAGCTGCCATACACTGAACTAAAAGCTGTCTCTTGGTAGCTTTCACTAGATGGCCATGGCTCTGACTTTGGAACTGTTCCCTTTAAGCACTGGAAGGCTGTCATCAAGAAGGATCCTGAGTGTGTATTCCCAGATCTTGTCCCTCCTCTACTCAAATCCTGAATCTCATCAGGATGAACAGCGGGTTTCTAGGCCCCCTTCCTCTGCCCTCTCACCTGGAGCTTCTTCCCGCACCATCCTCCTTCCCCTTCCCTGAGGGCCCTCTGCTGCAGGCACACTTGCCTCTCCCAGCTCTAGCACACACGCTGGGGAACCACTTTTCCCAGCCATCTGGGCTGACTGCACCTTCACTGCCCTCAGGCTCAAATACCACAACATCAGGCAGGACTCCCCACAACCCTGCGTAAGCCAGTCACAGCCTCCCGCCCCCCACCAGCATTCTCTTACCCCATGGTGGTTTATTGTTCTCCATAACATGAATCACTCCCTAAGAAATTACATGTATGTTTGTTTCCGATCTCCTGCACTACACATGAGCTCCATGGGGGCTGAACGCTTGTCTGCTTGATTCACTGCTCCAATAGCACCCAGAACACAGTACCTGGCACAGCGTGGGTGCAGTGCTCTGCACGTATATATCAATAAATGAATTCCCACTCCCTTCCATCCTTGCACTCATCCCCCAGCACACACAAACCTCTTTGCTTTCTCTCTGCATTCACTGGCCTGCATATCCAGCTTTCCTAAACAGCAAGGTGATTTTGGATACTGATCTGACATCTGACATCCCAGCAGTTCCTCTCAGCTTTGGGGCCCTTGGATCTTCATAAAGATGTCTCCCTCCCTCTTCATCTCATTCACACCAGCCCCCCTCCTTCACGCTCCTTCCGGATCCCAAGCCTGCAACTCCCAGAAAGTCTAGATAAGGGTTATGGTCTATGTCATCCTCAGATATGCTGATAAGAAGGCTGAGCAAACAGAGCCAGTTTAAAGATCCCCCTCTCCAGAGGCTCTAAGCCAGAATTTACCTGCTTCTCAGGACCTCTTAGGCAAATCCATGTTCCCACTTAGTCAGCACTGCTTTCTTCCTATTCACAAAGGATCTGTTTAATAACCAGCTCTACCAGTTTTCCAGGTATTAATGTCAAGCTTTTCCCTTTTCAAAAACCAGTACAGTATTCACTTCTTTCTAGTTTTCAGGCA